AACGCAAAATACAAAATCGACGACTGCACAATGGAGCGAATAGGCAGTTTCAAATACATCTGCAGTACACGAAGGATATTGACAAAGAAATAATGTAAAGTATAAATACGAGATATACATGTTTTGGCAGATATAAGGATAAGTATTTAAATTGTGTATTATACCAACTGTAATTTATGAGTGTAACATATGGGAATATTTTCAGAATAAAGAGGAATATCAGAACAATGCAATGGAACAACGAAGAATAGAATAGAATAGTGCTTTCTCTTCCTTAAGGAAATCTGTCTAATATGGACCTTAATCTGAACGATGAATTATGCATCAAATTTGCAGGTACATTGTCGTATAAACTTGTGCAATATCCTCGCATTAGAGGCCGGCCTATTGTACATTTGAATTATCGGATAAATATCTGATAATTTTAGATTGATATTAGACAGGGTCTACAGTTGAGTGGTGGTTTAATTTTTTTAAACATGCAATTCTCCGAGACCTATCAATGTTTTAGATTGATAGGAAAACGTATAACGTGTGGAGGTAAACAAGGAATGTTGGCCGAAAACACACAATATAGGATTGGAAAAAGATAGTGTGAAACCTTTGTATTTTTTTGGCAATTTCAAAAAATTATGCAAACACTACGGAATGCTAAATGCAGTGCCTATTCATCTCTCGCATAATAAATTAATAAATAAATATTGATTTTAATTAATATGTAGATAAACTTGGAAAGGTGCTACCGAATGTAAACGGCAACCTTGCAATTCCGCGACTGATGAATGTCGAAGTACATCTTTCATAAAAATGGTAAAATAATTCTCCGATAATTATCGATCTAAAACTTCGATAGTTAGGCAATCGGAGGATTTAAGGTTGGAACCACATCCAACAGACACGGATATTGTCAAATAATTGTCGAAGTATTAGAATGATACAATGGGCAACATTGTTTGATAATTCTCTGATAATTATCCGATAACATTATGCAAGATCCCGCCTTCACGGACTTTCGAGCATCATGGCCGGACTACACTACACTACATATCATATCATATCATATCATACTTATCAGTCCGAGCAGCGTTTATTTATTTATAAACTACACTACACTACAGTTGGATTTCCAGTATTAACCCACAGGACATCCTGGTTATATCAAGGTAGTAAAAGGTCACGCACGGCTAGTCAGATTAAGTTTGACACAAGTATACTGTGTGTCGGAACATAGTGG